AAAAATGGATGTTATAGAACAATATCATTAATATCACACATAATAAAATCTTGCTGAAGATAATTTAAAAAGAGCTAGATCAGTGTACACCAATAGAGAACTGCCATAAATTCAAACTGTGTTCAGAAGAAGACATAGAATCAAACTTACCATTGCTGGTATCAGATGGATCTTGACTAAAAGCAGACAATACTCATATCTGGGCCAACAGGTAACATTATGACAGATGGACAAAAGACTAAAGTTGCCAATTATTTCATTTTACTTAGATCTGGAAAAAGTGCAGCCAGAATATCAAGCTTCCTCTCTCATACTTGGGCTAGAAGAGGCTATTCCTTAGAAAGTGACATGCTGTTCGAAAAGGTAGAGGGTCAGGAAGAGAGAGGAAGTTTCCCAACAAGACTGACCAACACAGTGATTGCAGCAATGGACACAAGTGTATCAGAGATTATGAGAAGATCACACAGGATAGAACAGGGTTCAGGTCTGTTGTTCACAGGGTTGATATGAGTCATATTCAATTTGATGACACCTATAACAACAACAGATCTACCACCAACACACACAGTAAGTAGCAACAACTAAGACATCAAAAGATGTATTGCAGATGTGACGGCAATCTGGCTGCCACATCTGCCACTCCACTGCTCGCCAGGGTTGGTTCAGCTGATCTGGCTGGCCAGGCGAGTGTCCTCTTTCTCCCTCACTGATCCATGTGTGTCCCTCCTGAAGCTGTGCATTTGGTTGAAGAAGATGACCATCCCTGATAGAAGGAAGACCATCCTTCGGTCAAGGGCATACGAGTAGCTGCACTCTCCTACTAGAACCTCCAAAACCTCTCAAAAGATGTGTTCCACTGGGAAAATCTGCTGTCAAGTGCTAAAGAGTAAGGATGTCAGATGAAAGACTAAAGCGCACTTGGCCCAAGTCACAGTGTTTTCAATTGTTTTATAGGCATATGCAAACTTGAAAATGAATAGCGAAGATCAAATAATAACTGATGCCTTTGGATTGTGATCTTGGTAAAGAATTGTCAAATATACCAAACAAATCTGTCTTGGGGGGAAAAAAAGTATATCCAAGCCAAATTAGTCTCTTTAGAGGCAAGAATGGTGAAATTTCATCTCACCTATAAAAATGGTGTCATTTCATCTCCTAAGGGGCCAGTCCTTAGGAAAAGATAACATACCCTGAAAGGTGGAAAGTCAGAAAGAATCTCAATGAGATGGACTGACATAGTGACTGCAACAATTGGCCTGATTCTCCCAGCTCTGCAAAATCACACATGCTTTAACATGTGTGACTTTCTTAATAGGGAGAGAGAGAGAGACGAGATCTACTCCCGACCTTGGAGAGGCCTCATTGTGGTCCTTCTTTCTTGGAGGAGTGTTACAGATTTTTAATAAAAAGGGGGCAGCGAGGAGGGAAACAATTGGCTTGAGTATAGTGGAGACTGATTGCGGTTCAGTTTTGTTTGTGTTTTTTATAAGGTCGCTATGAATCACAGTGAATTCAACAATACCTAATAACAACAATAAAATTATTATTAAGTCAATTCCAGCTCACAGTAATGGCACAAAAAAGAGAAGAACTGCCCTATCAGGTTTCTGAGGCTGTAAAATCATCATAGGAGGAGGTTGCCTTGTCTTTTTCTTGAGAAACAACTGGTGGATTCAAACCACCAATCTTTTAGTTAGTAGCTCAACACTTAACTCACTGTGCCCCCAGTTCTTGAATGTTAGAATAAACTTAACAAGAACAACTCACTGCCGTCAAACTGGAAGCAACTAATAGCTAACCTTCCAGCATGTTTTCAGAGGCTATAAATTGCATGGGGGAAGCTTCTTCATCTTTCTACCTTGGAGCAGCTGGTGCCTTTGAACCACCTGTCTTTGGGTTGGCAGGGCAACTCCTTACTCAGTAGGCCACAAGAGCTCTCTGATGTGAAAACAGAGAATAAGAAATGAAGGTGGTCCAGCTTTGAAAGGTGGAAGATTGTGAATACTGAGGTCATTCATTAATACACAGGACATGGGCAACTTTGAAGGGGTAGAGGGGAAGGAAGAGCTCTATTTGGAACAAACTGAGTGTGGGGTAGTGAGTTTTGGTGATGTAGTCTGTAGTAAGTTGTGCAGCTAATGAAAAGGCCTAGCATTTCTGCTGATTGGAATCTATCAGCAGCTTCAAGAAAGATGAGCCTGCTCCTCCTATTGTGATTTACAACCTCAGAAACCTGCTGGAAAGTCACTATGAATGAGAACCACCTCTATGGCAGCAAGTCTGAATATGGAGTATGAAGTATATCAGGACACCTTATGTGGAAGTGGTGGGAGAATGGAAATGAAGGTTAAGGTGAGGTAGAAATCACAGAGGCAGAAGCCTGCTCAAACCTAGTAACTGCCTCTCTAAACATACCAATGATTAACTGGTATAGCACTGACATAAACTTGTATATTTATGTGAAAAGAACCATAGGAATATTTATGTCAAAGGAACTTTAGCGGTACAGTGGTTGAAGTGCTCGGCTACAAACCAAAGATGAGCTGTTTAAACCACCCGCCACTCTTTGGGAATAAGATGTGCCAGTCTGCTTCCATAAAGATCAAAGCTTTGGAAACCCTCCAGGACAGATCTCTTCTGTCTTTTAAGGTCTCTTTGTGAGTTGGAATAGACTCAACAGCAGTGAGCTTATGCTTTATTTTGTTTTTTTTGTAACACTGTACCTAAACATTTTAACCAGGAGTTAAGTGGAAAAGAGAAATTAAAAAATATCAATTCCATTCAAGTCATTGAAGTCTCTAGACTAAAACTGTTAATTCCCCAAAATAATCTTCCTACAATCTTAAATAGGTAAAGCTGCATTTAAAAAAAAAAGAAAGAAAAGAAAAAAGGGATTCTAAATCTAAATTCTACCTCTAAGGTTTTTTAAAGTTTAGGGTATTATAAGCCCTTGCTAAATAAGGTTGTGCCTAATAATTTTCTCATTTCCTCAGTGTTAATTTGAAATGAAAGGGAGGACATGATAAGGAATCAGAAGTACAAAGTGGCATTAGTAAACTACAATTTATGGAAAATGAATTGTTGTTATTGCAAACTCATGATTACTCCTTCATAGATCTCTGGTGCCTCTAAGGATGATGTGGAAAGAATTCCTAAGATCATTTGACTTCTATTTCCCCATTGTCACTTAGTGGCTCACTCCTCTCTGCGTTCTACCAGCTCTAGCAGACCATGTCTGTCCTACATGGGAGTGTGCATGACTTCAGACCAGAGTAAATGTGTGCCCAAGATGCCTCATCTGGAGATGAGGAGATGCGGGAGAGCTCTCCACTCAAATGAAGCTAGGGGGCGCTTAGCGCCCTCTATCCTTAACTACTCTGCTTCTCAAAGGAGTATGAGGTCCCCTATACATTTCACAAAGAGGGCTTACTACATTAACACCTAGAAAACAAAAGCTACTCCCTCCATGTGGTGACTGCACCTGTGTGTAGTGATAAGAAGAGAGTCAATCACAGCTAAAGAAACTGTATGCTCAGATGATGGAATATTATGTAACACTGAGAAACTAACCAACAAAAAGAGAAGACAAGAATTCATTAAATAATGAACAAAAGGAAGACTCTAGAACAAATTAAGTCAGCCACAAAAGGACAACTGCAGTAACTCATATAAAAAGCTAAGAAAAGGTTTACACACAGAATCTTTGTTAGCAGGGAAGAGATAAGAGGTAAAGGGGTGCAAAAATTAATAAAGATAAGCCAAGTGAAGGGAAAGGCAATACATAATTAATTATATTAACCAGTTTTAATTAATGTAAAGCAAATTGTGTGTGAATGCTAGAATGTAAATTGTATACTTTCTTCATTCAATTAAGAATTTTACAATTATTTTTTAAAAGGGAAAAAACCAAATGAAGAGCTATAGGAGAATTAAGCAGGGGTCCTAAAACAAGGAGATTGCAAGAATTCTGAATTCAACTGAGCCATTTTCAGTTACTAAAAGACACCAAGGTTGAGTTTCCCCACTGGTCTGTCTCTTATTCTATAACTAGAATATTGTAGAGACACATTTCATGAAGGGCAAAAGCCCCTCAAGTCCCCTTCTCATCTCCAATGAGGCACATGTTAACCATCCTACACATGCCTACAGTTGCCTGGCCTCCCAGTCTACTCCCTCAGGGTGCCAAAGATCAAGGGTGGAATATACACATACACTCTCCTTCCATAAAGAAGCTATTTTGACTAAGGGGTTTTTGTTTTTTTTTTATTTTCTTAGGAAGGTATTTGTTGGGGTTTTTTGTTTGATTTTTTTAATAAGAGCTCTCTGCCATTTCACCACAGCCAATATAATTCCTCTTTCTGACAACCCACACAGTCTTTAGTCATAAACTCTGTTAGCTAAGCCTATAATCTTGATTAAAAATACCCAAAACAATAATGAGGGCATGTAGAGACAAAAGTTGCTACATAGTATTCCTAATGTACATTTCAGAAAAATAAGAGGAAGGTATAAAAGAGGTGAATTTATATGATATTAAGCTTCCTCTTACTGAAAAGGAAAAAAAAATGGGAAGGAGGGGAAGTTAGAAGCATAAAGATGTCTTATTCTTTATTAATACTAAACCTAATGTTGTTTTTTTTACAAAGTGTTCAGCCCTGAAATTCTCCTAACAGCTAGGAGTAAAATTCACATTAAGGTAAATTTTCTGGAAGAAAAGAAAGGAAAAAAAAAGAAAAGGATTCTGTTTTAGTTGTGTGACTAGTGGTGAAAAAGATTGCAAAATCCTCCAACACTCTAGCTCTTGAAAGCAAAGAAAATGGTACAGCCCTAAGGAAAACCCCAGATATAAAATGCAATGGCTTGAATGATATCCTCCTTCTAAGAGAAGAACAGAAAGAATGAACTAGGTGAAGAGGAAAAGAGGAAAGCAAATACATTTCTTCTTTGCCATTTTGAGAAGGACAAGTTTTCTCTTCTCAGCCTTCCCCGGGGGAACTCACACTGGAGAAAGGCCAGGAAATATCTTGCGGAGGCAGGTACCAATATGAGCCAGCACTTCCATCACGTCCTCTGATGATGCCATCTTCATGGAGATGCTGCACTTCTCAGTTTCCACAACCATCTGCAAGAACCAGGATGAATACTTCTGAATAATGAGACTAAAACCTTAAATTTTTATATTATAATCTACATAGTCAAATAGTTGAAAATTAATGTAATGCTAGTATTTTTTTTAAAAAAAATTATCGTGTGTGTGTGTGTGTGTGTGTGTGTGTGTACTGTCAAATCGGATCTAACTGGTAGAAGAAACAGCCTCTCCTCCAGCAGAGCATCTGGTGGATTCAAACCGTGTACCTCTGGGATTTCAGTGCAGCTTCTGGCCACTAGGCCACCAGAGCTCCCTAATGCCAGCATTTTAAAATAAGCATTCCTTAAAATATTACTCTTGGGGACAACAGAACTGTCTCCCTTCCCTGGCACCTACAATAATAGGACACTTGAGTTCAATTTCCCACCAGTACTTTTAGCTCTGGTGATCTAGTGGTAAGAAGGTGGGTTGCAATCCCAAAAGCACATGGTTTGAATCCACCAGCTGCTCTGCAGAAGAAGGATGGAAAATCTCCTGCGTAATTAACTGTCTCTGAAAACCCACTGGTGGGGCAGCTATGGTTTAGTTCCAACTCCAGGCCACACAGCAGCAACTAGTACTAAATATCCCCATGGATTACCAAAAGAACAAGCAAATTAGTCTTGGAACAAATGCAACCACGGTGCTCTTCGGAAACAAACAGGGTGAAGCTTGGCCTCACATACTTGGGCATAAAGTGGCCAGTCCTTGGAAAATGGCATCATATTTGGAAAGACGAAGGGTTAGCACAGTAGAGGAAGACCTTCAACAGTATGGATTGGCAGGGTGACTTGTAACAATGGGCTCAAGTATATGGAGTTGGTGAGGATGGAACAGGAGAGAGCTGGTTCAGATATGTTGTTCACAGGCTTCCTAGGAGTCAGCTGACTCATCAGCTTGTAATAGCAACAACAACAAACATCTTATTTTACAGCTTCCATCTGTGTGTTAGTCATAGCTTACATGTTGCTAGGATGCAGAAGAGGTTTTTGTGGAGGTTCCAGAGTAAGGGAGGCTAGAAAGAAAAGCCTGGAAATCTACTTCCGGAAACCAGCAGGTGGAAACTCTACAAATCACTAGGATCTGATCCACAGTCTATCGTCTATTGTGATGGCACAAAATTGATTCCAGTGTACATGAAGTCACCATTAGTCAGCAACCAGCCTGGCAGCACTTAGCAATGACAAAGCACTGCTCTTAGTTTAAGGCTCAAATAATTGGGTAGAGGAAGGACCTATCCAATCTCAAACCACTGCCACAATCAGGGAGCACTAGTAGGAGATGTGCTGCTAACCCAAACACAGTACTTCTCCAGGGGTTCAAATCCACCAGCTGCTCCCAGGGAAAAGAAGATGAGCAATCTCCTCCCCTACAGTTTACAGCCTCTTGAAAATCTGCTGAAGGGTCAGCTGTGGGTAGGTTCTAACTCAACAGCAAAGAGAAAGAATCATCCAAGCAGTTCCTGCTCATAGCAACCATCCATAATGTTGCTGAGTCTGTAACTCTTTACAGGAGAAGACTGCTCATTTTTACATGGAGTGGATGGTGGAAATCAAGCTACCTATCACTCTGTCAGCAACCCAATACTATTACCCAATTACATAATATGACACCAAGATTCCTTAGGGAATAAGGCGATTTAAACAACAACAACAACAAATAAATATCCAGGAACTAAAGCATGTGGATGTAAGGGTCAAAATGATGGATAGAAATCTACCTACTGTTAAAATTTATCACAATTTTTTATAAAACTTCTCCCTTTACCCAAGATACAGTACAGAGGTGTAGTGTTACAAAGTTCTTCACCTCCCTCTGTTATCTGGGAAAAATACTAATATTCCCATTAGGGAGGACTAAGGGCAATCTAATTATTACCTTTTTGGTTGTTTGCCCTCCTTTTCTTTTAAACATGGTTTAAAAGCAAGAAAATCTTAAGGAAAGAGACTGCTCATCTTGCTCTATGGAGCAGCTGACGGATTCAAACTATCCACCTTTGGGTTAGCAGTGGCATTCTTTACCAATAGGCCACCAGAGATCCCTAGTTAGTCCGATAAATAAGTATAAATCTAGCAAGGAGGGAGGAAGGAGGAAGAAAATCGTGAATGCATTTCAAATAAGAGACTTCTTCTGAAAAAAAGGACACATAGTTCCTGTTACTAGTGATAGAAAAATCTGGAAAAGAATAGTGATGATCAAGAAAAACATGATGAAATTAAATAATGTCATGGCACATATCTGCTTTATATTGATCACACCACAATAAAAAAAATTCATTTTCAAAAAGTGTACACTAGTAGCAAAATAAATTCAAATGCTAATATGAATTCATCTCCTTGAGAGGGACTACTTGGAAAAGACTTATACCAAAGGAATAAAGTAATAAAATGTTTCATTTATATACATTGTGTTTCACATATCCCTTCATTCATTCTGTTTCATAGATCATTCCTATACACTGTGTCTAAGAAAATTCATCACCATTAATCTTTGCCCACTATTACCTTGTTTTTTTAGAAACACAATGTATACAAATTTCATATGCAAACCAATATAAGATTAAAATAAATTTTAAAAATGAATATAATTCCCTGACTGCAAAATAAATAAGATTAAAAAAATAAAAAATTTAATACTGTGTTTCAAAGTAATAGGAAAGGATGCAATGCTACATTTAATTGCTGAAATGTGCAGAACACACCCTAAAAAGTTGAGACTTGAGACTTGCAATTAGTTCTGTGTTGTTATGTACTATCAAGTTGGAACTAACCCATAACTGACCCTCTAGTAGGTTTTCAGAGGCAGTAAATCACGTGGGAGAAGATTGTTCATCTTTGTCCTATGGAGTAGCTGGTGGATTTGAACTGCCTACCTTTGGGTTGGCAGCACAATTCCTTCTACTAGAGTCTCCTAGTTGGTCCTATAAATAAGTATAAATCAAGTGGAGGTGGGGAAAAAGAAGGATTATTATAAATTTCAAATAAAAATAAATCATTTCAACCACTTAAATAAATTATACTATTTATTTTGGCACATGCAGGATACTATCCCTTTAGATTATCTTTGTATTGAAACTACTTGATGCATTTACACTTCATAATGACACATAATTTATATTAAAATATCACTACACTTAAAACACAATTAACCAGCTGGAATAACAAACTTGCTTTAGATACCCTAAAATTGGCCAAATTTAAGGTAAATAAATTAACCCACTATCATCAAGTTAATTCCAAAAACACAGGGACCCTATAGGACAGAGTAGAATTGTCCACAGTATTTCCAAGGTGCAAACCTTTAGAGAAGCATGCTGCCACGTCTTTGTTTCAAGGATTAGGATTTGAGTTTAAACTGACTCTTGGCTAGCAATAGAACGTCTTAACCACGTGACATGGGGGGAGGGAGAGGAGAAAAAAGAAATAGTTTATGTTTTTCAAAATGCCTGTTAAAATAAAAACAATGTCATTTATCATCAAAATTATGATACTAAAGAAAAACATTCTGTGATTTTAATCACTAAAAATGGTTCTTCTTCATAAGTCCCTATGGAGAACGACACTGAAGTAGTTAATAAACACTACCTAGGTGCCAATTAGTAAGCTCTCTGTATGAGAACAAAGAAAAATCCCTGGATTTCTCTAAGCTTACAGCCACAGTAAAATACACTTATCTAATGGACAATTTATTTCGTCTAGAATAGTCTGTAAACAGTCTTTGGTCATCCCTCTCAGCTAGCACAATTGTGGGCAACCAGAAAATAATATAATCATTAATATAACAGATCTTGCCTGGAGAGGGTGAAACCAAGTTGCTTCTTGGAGGCAAGGATTTTGAAACTTTGTCTCACATACTTTGGGCATGTCCAGGAGGGAACAGTACTTGGAGAAGAACATTATGCTTAGAAGGGTGGAGAGAGAGCACAGGAGAGGAAGACTCTGGATAAATGGATTAACACAGTAATTGAGGTAGTGGGGATTGGTGTTGGAGGTAAAGAGATGGGGTCAGGACAGGGCAGAGATCATGCTATTGTACATAGGATTACTATGAGTTGCAGTCAACTCCACGGCACATAACAACAATAATAATAGCTATAACAGTGTTCTTGTCAGTTGCTACCAAGTTGACCTCACTCATGGTTACTCAATACACACAAAACAAAATGTTGTGCAGTCTTGTGTCATGCCCATGAGCAGCTGGGGATCACACTGTTGTGATCTGAAGAGTTTCACTGGGGATTTCTAAAGTAGCCCATCAAAGCTTTTTTATTCCTCATTTGTCTTAGGCAAGTTCTGCTGAAACCTGTTCACCATCACTGCAACACCAAAGCCTCTGGTTTTCTGTCAGGAGTGCGTACTGGGTATAAGGTACGTTGGCTGAAACGGAATTCTGGTCCCCAGCATTTTGGTACCACTGAGCTACCAACAATGTGTAGCAATTCATTATTCCTTATATTATATGCCAGGCTCTATTCTAAGTCTGAGAGAATTAGAACTGAGAATTCTCAAGGTTGTTATTGTTTGTTATTGTTGTTAGGTGTCGTCAGGTAGATTATGACTCTTAGCGACCCTATGAACAAAAGATCAGAACCCTGTTCTATCCTGCACCATACCCACACTTTCTGGCACACAAGAGCCCATTGTAGCTGTCACTCTGCTAATCCACCTCGTTGAGAATCTTCCTCTCCTTCGCCAACCCTCCACTCTTCCCAGCATCATGTCCTTCTCCAAAGAATAGCCCCTCCTACCAACACGCCCCAAGTATGTGAGGTGAAACCTCATCATTCTTGCCTCCAAAGAGCACTCCAGCTGCACCCTCTCCAAAACATATCTGTTCTCTTGGTCGTCCATGCGATGTTCAGTGGCCCTCTCCAACAGCACAGCCTCAAAGGAATCAATTCTTTTTTCTGTCATCCTTATTCTTTGTCTAGGTCTCAGATGCATAGCAAGTAATCAGAGAGACCTCAAACTGACATCATTCTGCGACTATGATCATCTTACTAATATGGAAATTGAGGCACAAAAAGGTTAATTAACAAATTCAAAATCAACAGCTATTAAGAGATTGAGTTGGACAGGATTGTAAATGAACAATGGATATACAGACAACTTGAAGAACTTAAAAATAAAGTCTTTTCTTTTTGTTTTCTTGTGATTTTGGTGCAAGTTCATAAAGGTTCCATTCAACCATTCACATAAATGCTGTTTTATGACATTAATGATAATACAATGTAACTCCACTCTTCCCACTTCATCCCTGCCATTCTGGTTTTCATCAATCCTTCCATCCTATTTTTTCCTGCCTTCATCACTTCCTGCCTTCTGCACTTTCAAAAACTTACTGCCATCAAGTTGATTATGATGCACAGTAGGTTTCTAAGGCTATAAATCACAATAGGAAAAGGCTGCCTATCTTTTCTCCTGAGGATTTGATTGATTCAAACCATGGGAGATGCAAATCCTTTCGGTTAACTTTGGTACATCTCAAAAGCTATTATGTCACCAGAGCTAGCCCCAGGGCAAATGCTACCCTTCTGATCTTGAAAAAGGCAGGCAATCTTCTCCCATAAAATGTAGAGCCTTGGAAACCCAATGCAGGGTCAGCTCTATGTAAGTTCCAACCTTACAGCAGTGAGTTTGAGGCAATGGCTGATCATTCTAAATGAGTGTGTATCTCCTCGGTGCTACTATTTACCTCACAGGCTTATCTATTGTTTGGCTGAAGGTTAAGCCACAGGGGTGAGATTTAATAACCAAAATATTTCACTTGGTAAAGAGTTCCTCATGAAATTAATGGTATCATCTTTAAAATTCTCTAGGAAACTTTTAGAAGGTGGCAAATGGAAAGGATATGACTAAAATCCATCCCTTCATCCATATACAGGGACAGCAGGCATTACAGACCCTGAAGGTAATTTTGAGCAATATTAGGGTAGCTCATTGAAATGTCTGAAACTTAACCCAGAAGCTTCCTTGTGCAGTAAGGTACATGTTTAGATGTGCACATATCTGTGCCAATGCATGTTCTAAAAAGCTAGATATTTTGAGAGGTTATTGTAGTATCTGCATTCTGCACCCCTACTCCCAATTACCCCACAGTGGATAATTATATTTTTTTTCACTACAGGGTATCTCTACATTCTAAGCATCTAGTAATCTATTCAGCTCACAGTTTGGGTGCTAATAATTAGTAATTAGCTTATTTTAATTCCACTTAATCTTAACACCTAATCACTCTTAATTGCACAGAACTGAAAAGAGTGACAAGGAAGAAGAAGGTGACAGGTGAGAGAAGAATTAAGAGCTTACAAATGCAACCTTACAATACAAACAGGCCTGCATTATTTCCCGCTCACTCTGCAGAATGTAAAAATTGTAACACAGTACAGAAGCAGACTAACACAATTCCAGTAAAAGAGAAACAAAGACATCCCTTTTTCTTCAGACACCTAGCAATATCTATTCCACCACCTCCAACACACACTGAAAAACTAATTAGAGATAAAAATACTCTTCTGTCTATTAATATTATCATTACCTTATTTTAGGATTCACATTTCTCTCTTATCCCACCTCCTCTTTCATAGTGAAACAGTCTTTTATACTACTTTTTATTCAACCACTGTTAACAGGTCTAGAAAAGGCTTTTCTGTTCTTGAATATTTCCATGAGTGGTTTCCCAATACCATCCATGAAATAGCCAACAATTAAAGAGTAGTCTGTGTGTGGTTATGTGGGAGAA